GGGAGGAGAATAATGGACACTTGTCAACCCCAATCCAGATGGAACCCAAGAAAACAAGACTAGGCAGGCTTATAAAAACTCCAACAAGATTTAGAAAATAAACACTTATAACTTGCTTCTATGTGAAAATGTTCCAATGTTTTGACTGCAATATTACGGAATTTACAGAGACATTTAGAAGAGCACCATTATTCCAGGAAGAAAGTTTATCAATGTGACATTTGTCAAAGGATATTTACAAGGAATTTTAACTTTAAAAGACATTATTTTTCTCAACACAGTTTAATGGAAGTTTTAGATGATCTTTCGCCAGAAGATATTCCAAACGTTTCTTGTGACCAGAATATGGATTATACTGTGAAAAGCAATTTGTATGAGGACATTTCATCTGATGAAGAAGAGTTCGAGCCAACACAAAATTCCGAGGATTGTAACAAAACAGAAGAGAATTTGAGTGCCGAGGACACTAATGAGGAAGAAAAAGACAATGTTTCTGAGGAGAAGAAATCGATCACAATCCAGCTAATTCATAGAAGAATTAAAAACCGTAATGGACATTCGGAAATCGTAAAAGAAATAAACTTTTCTTATTCCGAAGAAATAAAAGAGGTGCCAGTGATGGACTTGATTAACGATTTCCTGGACGATTTCATGGACAATTCAAATGAGAGCAAGGAATGAACTGTGACAGTGTATAAACTTGTAAATAGATGACATTTTAATGTTTTTTTCTTTTAATTCATCATTTATTAGCATTTTTGTTTAAGACTGCTATCATTGCATATATGATGATGTACATCATTGATTTTGATTTATCATTTGCTTTTATTATTTACATTGTCTTATTTTTATTTGTTTGAAAGGTTTTCATTTTTTTATCATTATTTTGTACGGGGTACAAAGCTAAGCAGGGGGAAATGTAGCATAATTATTTTTTTATTTTTATTATTTTCTTACATTTACTTTTCTTAATCAGTAGATTAGTATGTTTTTATTATTTTACTTTCATTCGTAGACTAGATTGTTTATCAATGTCTTAACCCAGACTGCGAACAGGTCATGGGGAGCTGTTAATTAGGCTAGGAGGAGGCTTTATACAATAGTAGTGATTTATAGCATTTAGATCTGATAGCTTGACCTTAGTTTAGTGCAGGGGTGATTACGAGGAGCAATGAGAGGAGTCATAAACTATATAAGCGGGGTATTTTTAGGATGAATAGATTTTTATTAGAGATTTTATTGGGAGCAATATGGAAGAGTATTTTAATTATGGGAATTTAACTTGAATTATTCTAAGTGCCTTTCATTCAATTCTTTTGGATTTATACTTTATAACATTGATTGGATTATATTTTACTTTCATTTGGATTTAATAAACGTTTTACTACTATTTTGTGTTTTATTACAAAGAGGAAATATTATCAGGAGCTACCAAAAATATGAATGTGAAAAAGGATTTACGCTACATAAATCTCTCTCTCTCTCTCTTCTAACAAAGACAACACCTTTTGATTCTCAGGTAATGGAATACACAAACAATGACTCTCATCGATACCCCCTGTAACATTGACAATCAGTTATATTCTCTTTTAACATTATAAATTGTTAATTAGTGGGAGTCGTTTTCTCTGGAATACACAAACAGTGATGCCCCTTCTCCCTAGAGATAATATACGATAATTCTTCCTGTTTGTCAGTCCAGCAGAATATCATGCTAACGAGAATTAAACAACATCTGTTCTTTATGTTTGGTCTGATTTTTTGCTTTGTTAAACATTTTGATTGTACACACAAGTACTCTAAAGTTGATATTAAAAAGATGCCCGAGTTTCTGATCTATGTTGTTTTTGAAGAGCAGGTCTAACAATCTTTTAGCATTCCCATGGATACAAATTGCATCCCGTTATTAGCAGACCTATTTTTGTATTCATACTAAGCAGAATTCCTCCAAATAAACTTCCTGTGGCCTTATACAACTTGACATTTCGATATATCGACGATCGAAGTATTGTCAATTAACAATGGCTATTTTCATTCTGATGTCGATACGATATATCAGGATAGCTTGAAATTAAAAGATACCAAGAGTTGGACACATCTGTTTCATATTTAGTAATTTTACTTGAAAATGGTAATCTATCAACCAAGCTTTATGATAAACGTGATGACTTTAACTTTTCAATAGTCAACTTCCCTTATTTATGCAGCAATATACCTTCATCACCTGCAGAGGGGTTTATATTTCTCAGTTGATAACGCGGGAGCATGCTCTATACGTATGAAGAATTTCTAAAAAGAGGTAAATTTTTGACAAACAAGTTGCTGAAAGAAGAATACCAGCAATCTCGTTTAAAGTTATCATTTCGAAAGTTCTATGGTCGATACAATGACATTGTCAGCAAATAAAATTTAACATTAAGTCAAATGCTGACTGACATTTTTTCATACTAATTTGCAGGCCGTTATACACACAATGAATTATCGACAGAATTTTTAGCGAGGATTTAATTTTGGCATTATTAGCGAGGATGCCGACATCGCTAAAATTAATTGCGTTTTATTTGTTATGACTTCTTATGTGAGTATTTTAGAATCGCTAAAATTACTTCTCGCTAAAAATAAAACACCATTTTTTAATGACAAATCGCTAAATTTGCGTCTCGCTAAAATTTCCACTTATACGGGGTATTTCCCAGTCATGACAAGGAGCACATGTACGGTGGGTGTGACTGGTCAGCAGGGGATGCTCATTCTCCATGGCATCTGATCCCACCTCTGATGTTTTGAAAGTCCTTGTTTGCTCTACTCCTATTTTGTATTGTTTTATGGACTTTTGAGCTTGAATACTGTTTGTTATCTCCATTTAGTATAGAAATATTATTTATAGCGTGTACGATATATCATGTATATGGCGGAGATTAATTTTTGAAAAAGTAGGCGAATTAAGATCTGATTTAACGTATTGCTTAGGGATCTGATCTTTGCAAGACCACATGTAGCAATGTACGTATACTTAATTTAGCGGAAGTTGCTTTCCGCCAAAAGTGCTAAAAAGAATTCACTATACACTTATTTAATGACTACGAGGTAAACAGTCAAATTGTTGTCCCGAGGTAGTGGGGGAGACCTGGAAAACTGTTGCCCGAGGCCGAAGGCCAAGGGCAACAGTTTTCCAGGTCTCCCCAACTACCGAGGGTCAACAGTTTGACTGTTTACCTCGTAGTCATTGAATAAGTGTTTTATTACCTAACCTACTATATAATTAATTAAATTGGAATAAAAACACACAAACAATCAATAAAAAGTTTTCACAACTGTTTATTCACATACTTGTCTATTAATTAGCTGAACACAAAATATAAAGATTAAATCAATATTTTTAATTTAAAGTAATACTTAATAAATTGACTATTTGTGTGTTTTATTTCAATTTGATTAATTATAGAGCAGGTAAATAGTGATGTCGTGATCATCAAAATGCTTGAATATCACGATGACGCTTTAGACAGGCAACAGTTCATTCTGTGGACCGGTCAACAGTTCACTGTTTCATGATCACGCAAAAACATAAAGTAAACCGTGAAACAGTTCAAAATGCCTAATTATAATTTATATAGTAGGTTAGGTAATAAAGCCAAATGTAATACGTTTACAGTATATTTCATCCACTGGTAAGGACTCATACGTCGATCATACGTCGATCTCTCTCTCTCCCTCTCTCTCTTGTAGTCTTACATCCTCTATCATTGACCTCTTTTTGGTCTGGTTATGACTTCAGTACAAGTCTTGCTCTCTCTCATCTCCGCTAGCCAAGGGTTTCTGATACGCTACTCTCCTCATCATTATGAGGAGCGTAGCGTATCAGAAACCCTTGATGGTCTCTCTCGAATGTACAAATAAATGACTCTCGTAAATCGAAACCGGTCCCCATCTCTCTATGACTCTAACTAGACATACATCTCATAGTGAAAATGAAAATGCCATTGCGCAACAAATATATTGTCGGCTGTATCTAAACACAGTCCTGATGGGTAATGTATCCAACGGTCTTATATAGCTGAGGGATTGTCCATTCTGACCACATTACATGTACAGTGATTGTCATGGTCCGATGTAAGGACGTGAGTCTGAAATAATGTCTGTGGTTATTCCATTAAGAAGAAATGGTTTGTTCTTTAGAGTATGCCCAGTGCCCGTGAAACACAGTTATCCGATCTGATTGACCACCACTACTTCAGGTTCCTGTTCTCAGTAATGTATTGATATTCAGTTGAAAAATGCTTGTTGATGAAAAAATGAGGATTACCTAGGTCCTTTATCAACCATCAAACTGAATGGTTTATTTTTCTAAAGAGCCAGAGTAACAGACAACTTTTGTTTGTAAACATCACTGTTCATGAAAACCAGGAGGTCACCAGAGGAGGTACTACAGACACCGCGAGGTCTCCAGTTTTGTAGTCTGATCACCTCCTCTATCTTCTCATTCTTCACAATGTTCACAGTCTCATTATAGCAATCAGTATAAACTAGCTAGATATCTAGATTTGTGCTGAACATGGTCACCAGGAGGTCACCAGAGGAGGTACTACAGACACCTTAAGGTTTCCAGTTCTGTAGTCTGATCACCTCCTCTATCTTCTCATTCTTCACAATGTTCACAGTTTACATCTGCAATTAGATTAAACATCTATAATTCTAATTTAGATGTTAAATAATTCAGTGAATATGCTACATGTACTTTGCATATGAAACAGAGAATCAAGCAATACACTGAAAATATTGACCAATCACATTTAATAAGTGTTAACGACTACATAACTTTTATATAAAGCAGCAACATGTGATCAGTCAAAGTCTCTTGATGCCTTCTCTGTTCAATTACCTGAAGCGACACTAAACGACTCAGCAGCAGAATGTCAACAAGTGGAAGAAAAGGAAACAACACAGACTGACTATTTAAATAGGGTACCCCCTATTATTACTGACTAGCTATATAAATAGACCAAACATGGCGCCAGAACTTTCTCAGGTTGGACCGGTGGATAACGAAGTTTGAGAGGAACAGAGCGGGGATACGGAGAAGGATAAGTGAAGCATGACGGGAAGGACATCTGTTATCATTGGGATCTCTGGGTGAGTGATAATGTCAGGTAAACTGGTGGTGTACCTTACAATTAACCAGGAACCAGTAAATAAAGAGAGTATTTCACAATATCGTTAAATTGTTAAAGGGATCACAAATGTTAAATGTACTAATCTGATGAGACTGTGTATTATCTTGACATTTTTCTCAGTAAAATTCAATTTGCTTATGTTCTAGAAAACATTGCGAAATGTATTATAAAGTTAGAAACGGAGAAGAAATTCACAATCGCTAAGATTTATTTTTAGCCAGTTTTCAAATTTTGGTACACAACTCTTTTTTAATTCACCTCCACCGAGTCTAGATAAGCTAATACCCCAGGAATCAGCGTCCATTAGCGAGTAACTATAAGTCCTACCTGAACCAAACTTGCATGGATAATGCATCTAGGGATGGACACTACCAGAATCGTTTCGGATGCTGGATATGACCTACATTTTCCAGATGAATGACCAGGTTAAAGTTTTCAAAGCAGGTGCATTCCCAAGTAACTATAAGCTCTATCAGGATCAAACTTGCGGGGATGATGCATCTAGGGATGGACACTTCCAGACTTGCTTCGGATGCTGGATATAACCTACATTTTTCAGATGAATGACCAAATTAATTTTTTTGTTTGGAGCAGGTCCATTCCCAAGTAAGTATAAGCTCTATCTGGTCCAAACGGACATGGATGATGAATCTAGGAATGTGATATTTGCCGTAACAATACTGTATATCATTCATCGAGGTGAGCTTTGTAGTCTTTGATTACCTAGTATGGTTTTCAGCCTCATTGTTTTGTTGTGAGTGACTTTATTCAAATATGCCTTTATGTCCCCGCTTGAAAAACGTGAGGGTATATAGTAATCGGTTTGTCCGTCTGTACGTCTGGCTGTCCGTACGTCCCGTCTGTTACGCTTATGGGTACCCATTTCTTATCCGCAACTCCTCTCATACCACTGAAGGGTATTAAATGAAACTTTCACAGAATCTTTAGTACATATTGCCATTGTGTACCTTCTATTTTACTCTTATTATCTGACATATATTTGGGATTTTCCAGAGCAAAACGTGGACACTGCCAATATATTCATATGGGAGGCGGGGTATCATTTAGTGAGCTCATTGCTCACAGCATCTCTAGGTTAATTAGTATTTTATTATGTAAATTCAGTTTACACAACTGGATTGGACATCAGGCATGGCCTATATAAGCCCCCTGTTTTCAGTTGTTTAATAAATTCTTTATCTTACTGGATTGGTATAAGTAGTATTTTCAACATCTATATAATTATATACATACAGTGCATTTTTGACTTTAAAATTATAGCAATATCAAACCTAATACATGTACATTAATTTTATGTTGGCAGAGATTTGAATTAACGAATCTCAAATTTAAGGGAATTCTTCTAATGAGTATGTGGTTTAACAAATTAATCGTTTACAATGATATTTTTGTGTATACAATATTCAGTTTATTAATGCCCGGATAAAATATAATACATGACTCTATGTCGATAAACATTATATGTTTAATTGATTTCTTTTCATTGAATACTTCATAAAAATGCATCAGACAACATACAAAAAAAAATATACCTTGTTTGATACACACAATGATGTGTATTCAAAAAGTTGGCAGAAAAAGATATACCAATAGTCTCGCTTGAAGCCATCATTTTAACAAGTTCTATGGTGGGTACAATTAATAAAGTTATTCACAAATACAATATCTTACATCATATGTAGGTGGAAGGGTGACTGATGTTTTTCATACCAATTTTCAGGATATTATTTACACACTGAAATTTCAACAGTGGGCGTGACTTATCAGCATGGAATACTTACTCCCCCATGGCACCTGATTCGACACATAATGTTATGAGGGGTCCGTGTTTGGTCTGTTCTAATGTTTTTACTAGTAGTTTGAGTAGAAATCTGAGCTTGAATCCTGTCATCTCCAGATTTTGTCTTTGACCACTCCTTATTTACGGATAACAAACGTAGAAAACTTCACAAATACTGTGATTTCATTAATTTTCGTTGGCATCAGATTTCGTGCATTTTGTAAAACAGACGTTTTCGAGGAAATGTGGACAAATGCATTGCCTATACAAATGAATAATATATTTCTTAATTCAGTGAACATTTAAATTCGTGGATCTGCATAACATCGAAATCCTCGAAAATTGGTGCTCAAGGAATATTAATGAACGACAAAAAGAATTATTTATATAAGAACATATGTAATTGTTCACAATGATTTATCAGACATCTTTTTACAGGGTCACAAACAGTGGGAAGACATCCCTGACCAATAAAATCCGAGCTCATCTGCCGGGATGTCACACCATATGTCAAGATTCCTATTTCCTAGTAGGTTTGAACTACATTGCATATTGGATGCCTTACGTCAATGTGAGGTAGAGTTGACCCAGGTCTCACTCGGGAAGGTTTCTGCTACAAAATGAACAATCAAACTTTTGCTTGGGTATATTAGGAAAAAACCTTTAAGCGGTTCACAATTATGTTCTCCATATAAAAGTTTAACGTGTTTGGTGACAATGAAGCACCATATTTGCAAAGCATTTTATGTATTTTTTCTCGATAAATAAATGCATGTGCATGTTTGAAACTTATAGAATTTAATTACCCCATGACAAATTGTATTAAAACATGTTACATAGGCTAAATATAAAAACATACATTGAAAAAATATAAATGTGTCTTCATGAATTCTGATTTTATAGACCATTCCTCTTAAGAATGTTGGTTTAACATATATGCTTTATGAAAATAATCATGTAATTAATTATATTCTACTTCCTGATCCACAGCCAGCCTCGGATTCTCGCGTAGCCCATATACCAGAACTAAACAATTACAATTATGAAGGTTTGTAAACTGTATAATCATGATTATTAATTTAGGCATTTGAAGGGTCGGTCTCTGGTCGAAATCATTATCGATACCATATATATAAATGCATATTTTTTAAAATAGCGAACAAAATATATAGAGAAAGTAAATGGAAAAAGAGACATGTGAACTTCCTTGAATTTTTTAGGAATACAGAGGATTAAAGAAGTGTTTTTATTTTTAGTACTAAATGCCCTTAACATGGAAGCAATGGTAGCAGATGTCCTGTCATGGAAAGATGCTCAAAGTAACTCCACTCCTCTGGGATCCACCCCAAATGATATGTATAGCAATGTACTAATTATCGAGGGATTTAGGATGTATGCATTCAGGTAAAAAGGATCTTGGTATATTTACAACAACAAATGTCCATACGATTACCTACATGTTGGAATTTGGGTCTATTTTCTGACCTACTCATGCCTAACGGCCTCAGGCAGGCAGTTTGGTCCTTGGGTCCGGCAAAACGCATGTTGCCCTCTAACTCAATTAATAAATGTATATTATTATTAATATTATTTGTAGGGACTTGGAGCAGCTCTTCACGAAGAAATTCTTTTTAACCATTCCATATGTTGTGTGTAAAGCCAGAAGGAGGTAAAACTCTAAAGCTATCTGCACATATTACTTATCAAAAGTTTCAAACATACATGTAGTACTTTATGTACAACTGTATTTTCATAAAGCTCTCAGATGAGTACGATTTATTCTCAATAGTGGCTTATCTACTCTAAGACGTTTATTTGCTTAAAATATAAAATTTGAAGTCTGGATCATTTTATCAATAGAAGAAGACGTTATTACCCCCCAGATACCCCAGGATATTTTGAGAAATTTGTTTGGCCTGAGTCTATTCTTCATCAAAGAGAAATACAGGACCAAGATGATATAGGTAAATATTGTACTTAAAACCATAGACATATAATAGAATAACACAATTTGGACGTGTCAAATTTACAATTATGCTTAAGGTATTCATCATCTATGATTTTCAATGCAAAATGCAAGTTTTACTAACGTTTTAATTTTAGACAATCCTATTCACCGCATAACTGATTGATTTTGATAATTATTGAAATCTTAAAATGCATGGTGAAAGAGAAGATGATTATAACTTTTTAAATAATGATATTTCATAGTCTATGGCAGGAAACTGTTGAATTAAAGTTTATTAAGTGTATATTCCTCAAGGAAAATAACATTGATCTCCCTAAGCTATGAGAAATCAAACGTTACAGTTAAATGGGATTTTCAAATTAAGGCATGATCTTTTATTTCTAGAGTACCTTGAAGGAGTCGGTGATCAAGAAAAACTATGTTTGAAAATGGTGTGTGATATCAAACGACTTTGTAATGATAAAAATAATTGGAATATTTAATGTAAAAGTGAGGAAAACTCAAAAATCAAGATGTCAAATTTTGTGATAACCAAAGAAAGGTCTTGTCAAATATGAAAGCCATAGTTCCATCCACTCAAAAAGTTATTGGCAAGCCTAAAGTTTGTTGCGGACAAACACACTAACAAGCAGACAGATGGACGGGCAAAAACTGTTAAATTCCGAATATGATAATAAGTGACTTTTTTTGGTCATACCACATGGAAAAAGTTTCCTGTTGCTAGTTAATTCTTTGGCTTGCTTTCCAAAGTAACCACATGAACTTTTTTTTTTAATTTCACATACACTGTACATTGAGCATAGTGCAAGAAGACCTATGCGTGGAAAATTATTAATTTCTGAGAACCTTCATGTTACTCGGTGAAAATTTTTAAGTAATATAATGAATTTTTTCTTTGAAGTTATGTAGTTTATCTGTACTTAACTTATACAATTGTTTGTTGATATCAATAAAAGAGAGAAAGAAACGAGCACTAACTTCAAGTGCCAGTGACTTAAACCAACTACTTTATATTTATACAGAAGTGGGAAGTCAATTCATACATGGAAATATTTGTCTCTGCGAGCGGAGTTTTATCTTATATCATTAAATATTGAAGATATGCAATGCTCTCATCATTGTATATCAAAATGTTTTAATATATTGATATTGGGACCAAGAGGTATACATGTATGAAGATATACAATGATAAACCTCTTGCTCTTTGACTTAACATGGATTTTTTCATTGTAGAAAAATACATCTCATCAATTTACATGCTCTCCATCAATATTGATAGGGATATGTTTGAAATGACAAATACCAAAATTTTAAAATGATTTAAATGCAAATATAAAGCGTGCACGTCTACGCTTAATGTTAACAACATATAAATATGGTGTTTTGTAAATTATTTTTTTAATTGTAATATTTTATTTTCTTTACTTGATTGTTTCCACCTTCAGCAACAAACAAATTGTCATTTGTATCTGTACACAGTCCCCAAGGTTTACACAGACCACAGTCTATGTAACCGAGGAACTGTCCATTATGGTCTATGATGTGGACACAGAAATTGTTAACATCAACTGCAAGGATGTGACTCTGACTGTCTGTGGTGATTCCTCGTGGACTGAATGGTTGATTCTTTGGAGCAGGAGTATGTCCAGTGTATCTAAATCTCAGTTTCCCAGCCTAATTGACCACCATTACTACTTTTGCTTTGTTATCAGCTGTACAGATATCCAGGTTCCTGTTCTTAGTTATGTATCTGTAACAAAGACCAGGTGAGTAGAAAGGTTTACCTTGATCATCAAACTGAATGGTTTGTTTCTCTGTGGAGCCAGAGTAACGGACAACTTTTGATTGTTTTTTGTCATCACACTCCATGATAACCAAGAGGTCACCAGAGGAGGAAATACAGACATAACGAGGTCTCCAGTTCTGTAGTCTGATCACCACCTCTATCTTCTTATTCTTCACAATGTTCACAGTTCTATCATAGTAATCAGTATAAACTAGATCTCCACTTTTAGTCACAGCTATGTTATATGGCCAGTTCCCTGACTTGGTTGTGATTGACTTGAATAGTGATCCCCGATTGATGCTGAAGAGTTTCATGGTGCTGTCATCTCCATTTGTCCAGATTTTCTCATCACTCAGACAAGCCACGCTGACAAAATATCGATACCCAGTGTCTATGGTGGTGACAGTCTCTGGTTCATCAAGCAGCTGTTTTACTTGAGAAGAGGATCCAGCTTCTGGTGATTTCTGTGTTGTCTTCATACTGTAGCCATGTTTATATGATTTTAACGAAATTGCTGTTAAAGAAAACAGTTGATCAGTCAATAGTGTTTTGGGAGAAAACTTGGGCAATGAAACGAAGAGTTTTCTTGGAAGTTTTCTATACTCATCAACGAAGGAAGGCATGCTTAATAGAGCTGAGATTTGTGTCGTGTTTAGCGCAGTTTCATTGGATTTCATTACTTTCTGGATGTTCAAAATTTTCTTGCATATCTTATATAAATGTTTTTGAAGTATTCGTAACTGTGTTCTTTTAATCTTTCCAATCTCAGATGTTAGTTTTTTGACTATCTTGTCAATTTCTTTGTGCCAGTCCTCTCCATATTTTGTTATGGCTTTTAAGAGATCTCCATATTCCTTTTCTAATTGGATCATTCTGCTTTTTACATCAACGGCAATGTCCTGATAGGTTGGATAAATTGTTTCGTTAAGTTCTCTCAGTTCTTTGAGGATTTTGTCCCTTTTCTCATCTCGGACTTGCAAGAGTTTTACTAAGTTGTGACTAAGATGATGTTCAGATACAAGGCAGCTACTGCAAACAGGAATCTTACACCGGCAACAATGCAACTCGCAAGTTTCTTTAGCATGATAGGTGCATTTAGGATAAATAAGAGATGACCTTCTTTCCTTGAAATCAACAATTTTATGCGATATTGATAGATTAGCAGAAAAATGTTCTCCTACGCAAAGTTTACACAAGTTGACAAAACATGTATCACAGTGCATCTGTACCACAGCGGTCTCACACTGGTCACATCGCATCACGTCTTGACCACTGGTTTGGGGATCCATACTTTAAATCTTCATTAAAATGTCTGCTTAAAAAGTAATTTCTTAATTTCAATGACATGTCTATATTTGTATTTTTAATATAAAATTGTGCGCACACAATTATTTCATTCTTGAAATGGAAAATATGGTTTTCTTATTACGCTATTATTTTTTTACTTCAATTATTGCTCATAATAAAATTTGGAGACACAAAACGTTTTAGATAGGCATTACCTGATTTAAAGCAATGACGAGGGCCTCTTCCAACGAGAAATGAGCTACAGTATTTGTTTGCACCAAAAATATATACCCTTTCTAATCAGTTACTGTTATTTATATGAGGTGGGGGTTATATTTTTGTGACCAAAAATAAAAGCATGACGTCAAGTGCCTGTTCCTCTATTGTTTTTTTCTTCCGGGTTTAAAGTGTTACGAAATAAATGCATTTTCTGTAAATATTGCGATAAAAAAACAGCACAACAGGGAGAAATAGGACAAATTTAACATTATGTACAACAGTAACTCCTATTTGTATTTTAGGTACAGTAGGTTAGAAGAAAAAAAATTTAAGAATGTTTATGTAATTGATAGTTCAGAGGTGTTTCTTACATGTTACATTGCAAATTTACAAACTGCACTGTGCTACGCGTATTTTGGAAGTGATGTTAAGGTCATACGTAACGTAGTTTGAACTTTATTGGGTTCTTCCCTGGAGTTGAAGAGTTCCACTAAAAGAAGGACCTGTATGCAATACTTTTAAAGTCTATATATGGATTTGTACTACTCTTCTAAAACAAATTTTGAAAAAAAATCTGGAATTTATGTTTTGTAATTTTCATATATTTTTCTTTGAATAATACAAAATTTTTAATAATTTGATATCTTTTCAAAACCCCTGGTAAGCCATGCTGATTTTTTGTCTAAGAACATATAATGGTATTCGTAAGTTTAAATTTAGAATATCTTGAAAAATTATCAATAGGTAAAGTACCTTGCGTATGTCCTTAATCATAATAAACCTCTTTGTTTTACACTTGATACAACTATTCCTCAAGAAAAGTTAATAACTGGGGTTTTTTAAAATATAAATTATAGAAAGGTGCCGTCTGAATAAAATGGAAACAAGAAATTTTCGTATCTTAAAATAAAAACCACTCTGATTTTACACAGATACTGGATATCAGATGAACAGTAATTGTGCGCTTTTACAAAAGTAAAACAGTAAGTAATTGATAACATTTGTGTAAAAAATACATCATTGTGGTGATTTATAGTATCAGTCATCATTCGCTATCATCAAAACTGCAAATTTTCCGAACCCATGGAATTCATAAAATGATTCCACCTGAAAAAGGACTACAATTTAGTTCATGTGAATCCGGAAATTTTCTGAACTAGTGGGGCATGAAACATGGAACCTCTAGTCTACATTTATTTTAAGAGCTGAAATAGTGCAGCAGTGCGTGTAGTCCAAACTGTAGCGCATTTATGGAAAGAGGCAGCTAATAAACAGCTTGATTTTCTTAACTGTAGGACTATGCCGCTAGGAATCTTACATTGTCATACTCAGTGAGGGAAGGAGAGCACGCAAAAATTACCTGCAGCGTTTGGTGTTTTGCATCCAAAGGGTCAAACCTTTGATCATATAAAGCATAGTTTAGATTGGGTTATCATGGACAAGCAAAAACCTAGTTCTTACAGTAAAATCGGAATTCGAAGCAGGGAGCTGTAATAAAATTATATCCCACAACAACAAAAGAGTTAAATTAATTATTTTCAAGATACATTGTATATAGCATAAAAAGCTTTTTATATCTTTATTATTACATATGTTTGCAAGAATGAAACTACCAGTTGAGTGTCTCAACTTACAAGACCTATGAAATTTTTGATGATCAACAAAGGATGGAAAGATTCAAGTCAAGAAATCACAAGACCGACAAATATTCACAAGGACCACACAGTATGAACCAAACTACCACTAATATAAACTGTTAATTACAATATCCCCATTAAGCATACATCGGGCAGACTGATATTTCTTCTAAAATTGGATTTGGGAAATGAATGTTCAAGGGCTAATAAAGTGAAAATTAATTGTTTCAATGACCTAAGCAATCTTATGACAACGTCATTAAGCATTTGACGTAATGATAAATTGCAATTTTATGTTTATATTAACCACACCAATGTCATTGTTTGTATATTGAAGTTCATTCCTAAATTATTTCAATGTTAAGTATTACTAGTAATGTGTTATTTTCTTCACTTGATTGTTTTGCCATTGAGCAACAAACAGATTGTCATTTGTATCTATACTTAGTCCCCAGGGATAACTCATTCCACATTGTATGTAATGGAGGAACTGTCCATCCTGGTCTATGATGTGTACACAATGGTTATTGCAATCAACTGTTAAGATGTGACTTTGACTGTCTGTGTCGATTCCTCTTGGGCCGAATGGTAAGTTATTTGGGACAGGAGTATGTCCAGTGTATCTGAATCTAAGAATCCCGGCTTGGTTAACTACCACTACTGCTCTAGCTCCATCATAAGACACACATGCAGATATCCAGGTTCCTGTTCTCAGTTATGTATTTAATGCATCTAAAGTAAGGAGAACCAGATGAATAGAGAGGTTTACCTTTATCATCAAATTGAATGGTTTGTTTTACTGTGGAACCAGAGTAACGGGAAACTTTTGATTGTTTGTTGTCATCACTTTCCATGGTAACCAGGAGGTCATCAGAGAAGGTACTACACAAACGGTAGGGTCTCCAGTTCTGTAGTCTGATCACCTCCTCTATCTTCTCATTCTTCACAATGTTCACCGTTCTATCATCATAATCAGTGTAAACTAGATCTCCACTTTTTGTCACTGCTATGTCATACGGCACATTTCCTGACTTGGTTGTGATTGACTTGAGTAGTGATCCCTGATTGATGCTGTAGAGTTTCATGGTGGTGTCACATCCACTTGTCCAGATTTCTTCATCACTTAGACAGGCCACATTGTAAAGATATCTGTACCCAGTGTCTATGGTTGTGACAGTCTGTGGTTCATCTAGAAACTCTTTATTAAGTAGATGAGGGGATTCGGTTTTTGGTGATCTTTCTGTTGTCTCTGACAAGTAGCCTTCATCATCTGATTTTAATGGAACGAGTGTCAGACTACAGAATTGGTCTACCAGTAATTTTTTCGCAGAAAATTTGGGCTTGGAGACTATGATTTTGCTTGGAAGTTTTCTACATTGATCTACTGAAGGCACACTAAGCAGGGTTGATATGTCCGAAGAATCTACAGCATCATTAATTGATCTGATTATCCCCTTAATGTTCGACATTTTCTGGTGAATTTCATTTAAATGTCTTTTAAGCGTTTCTAACTGTCTGGTTTTCATCTCATCAACTTCAGCTTTAAGTTTCTCGACAAGGTTGTCAATTTCTCTGTGCCAGTCCTCTCCATGTTTTGTTATGGCTGTTGAGAGATCTCCATACTCCTTTTCTAACTGACTCATTCTGTTTTGCACATCAGAGGCAATGGCCTCATGTATTGGATAAATTTTCTCGTTGGGTTCAATTTTGTCCTTGATGATTTGATTCACTTTTTCTTCTCGGAATTGCAAGATTTTTACATATTTATGTCCTAAATGTTTATCTGTAACAAGACAGCTACTGCACACAGGAATGTCACAATGATTACAGTGTATTTCACAAATTTCTTCATCATGGGATGTACATTTAGGATAAATAAAAGTAGTTTGTACTTCCATGGAGTCAACAATTTTGTGGGGTTTGGGGGGATGGGTAGAAATGTGTTCGCCGACACAAGGCTTGCATAAGTTGACATGGCATGTTTCACAGTACGTCTGTACCACAGCGGTCTTACACAGGGCACATCGCATCACATCCTGGCAAGAAGTACGGTGGTCCATGGTTCAATTTTTCATGAAATATCTGTAATTAAAATAGTTTCATCAAAATTATCATTCTTAACACTTATTTTTGCTTTCAAACGAAAAAAAACCAGAAGTCAAAAAAATTATTTCCAACAAAGTCCTTTACGAGTTCACTGGTGAATTAAAAAGATTTTTATACATTACCTAATGTATATGTACTTATCTTGCAATAATGGCGGCTTCCAAGGAGAGGATTTCAAACGTCACGTGACACTCTTTGTTATATATTCTTCCGGGTTAAAATTTTTAAAGAATATAGATGCATTTCTTTTCTTAAGCAAAAATTGAAGTACAGTAATACAGTGAGTAAAAAAAGTAAATAGAACTCACATCTATGAAAAAATACAATTATCATCCATGATAATTAATACCTGGATCGTTCTAAAAATAAGTAATTATGAAAAAATTTGGCATTGAATAATTGATAATAAATCAGGTTTCATTGACTGGAACTGTTTTACTTGCAAATTAAAAAAAAATAAAATATATGTATTCTTACCTTTCCTGGTAGATGTTCAATGTGTTCTTATGCAAGAAAACACTTGCTTAGGGAAATTTTATTTTAAAAAATGTATTGATAAGGAAAAAAGTCTAATTCTTCTATTTTGTTTGCATGCCTAATTCATTGGTTTAAGAGTAATTTTTAGGTAACTCAATTTCAACTTCCGTGTATTCTTTATGTTCATACAATTACACAGGGAAATTTCTCATCTTTATAAGGTAATTTTCTCAATATCAAAACATGCATATTGTGATTCCGTTTTACGTTGGTTGAACGTTTTGAATTATCCTATGTATAAATTAAATCAAGTTTTATTATTTTATTTATAGGCATAAAGAGATTGATTGATTGATTGGCAGCTGCTTTTCAATTAGAATGGAAATCGTAAACTAACTCACCTTTTTATTGCTCATTTACAAAATTATTTTGTTAAAAACATTCTGATTGTAAACAAAAGTACTAATGTTGATATCACAAAGATGCTTGAGTATCTGATTGACAATATCTTTGTGGTTTTTGGAGACTAGCTGCGGAGTTTATATATCTCAGTTGATTCGATGCGCAAGAGCATGCTCTACATATGTAAAGTTTCTAAAACGAGGAAATGCATCGACAAAAATGTTGTTGAAAAAAGAATATCAGCAGTCTCGTTTAAAGTCATCATTTCATAAGTTCTAATAATCTGATAAACTAATGTAAATTGACAATGCGTCGTCGATATACTTTATAGTACATGTACATGTATCTAAATATCAAGTTGAAGGCCACCACAAGTGTTATCTTCTTTTTGTACAAAATTACGAAAAAATAATTTTGCTTCATGTGAATTTTAAAAAGGGGAATCTGCTAATATGAGTGCACAATTGGTATCCATGGAAATACCAATATATTGATGGAAGACGTTCTTAAAATCTAAATAGAGAATATCAATCAGAAACTCAAGCATCTTTTTTCATATCAACGTCATGATCACAATGTCAAACATTCATATGTCTTGGTCATTCTTTGCGCGATCAAATCAATTATTTATAGGAAGCATGCAATCGATGTCTCTTTTCTATATTGATTTCAAAGGACTGTTTTATTCAAATTCTTCTTACAGACTACAATATACTATAATGACGTAATATTTCAATCACATTTTTCTGAAATAAATACTACAAGCTCTGTTTTATTTCTCGTGTTCAACAAAACAAACAAAAAAAAAATCTGAAACACGTGTGAGGTAAGTTCCTCTATTAACATTTTAAAGACAAATAAAATACATTTGTACACTCATCAGATTATGTCAATTAAATTTTATGAATATGATCATATAGCTTCTTATATAAAAACATAGTATGAAATTATAACTAGTCTCTGCTAATTGTAATAAATGAAAACTTCATTTTCATGATTCCCTAGTTATAACCCTTCCAGGCGTAGGAACTGACCACGCCCATTTCGCTGTATGTAGATTTCGTCACCCGTCTGTCACTGTCTGGAATCTTCTCTACGGGAGCCTTGGTTAGTCGCTGTAGCTAAAGAGAAAAAGTACATTTAAATTGGTAAGCATTTTTTAAAAATTAATTTAATAATTGAGAATTCTTTGGGACACAAGGTTTCCTCTACATATCTTGAGCTTATGCCCTCTTCTTTTAATAGAATTTGTCAAAATAGAAATGATTTGCTCAGTCGCACACTCTACACATATTTGCATAAAAATATCAACCATTTCTGTAATTTCTTCCTCTGTCATCTTTTTTCCTGGTCTTTCGTACACCCGTTCTTTTGTGGCGGGAATTTTATACAGACGATCCACTGTCTGGTCTATTTCGTAATCTGTCATTTTCTGGTGACCAAGGCCGTACTCAGGTTTAAGTATCGTGCCCCAGGGCTGATTAAGGTTCTTAGGGTGGACAGACGAACGAATACTAGACATCTACTGCAACTGGACACCTAAACACCTAAAATAGAACGTAAAGAGACTGAAGAAGATTGCATTATGTCTCATCGAATTCCAACAGAACAGAAACAAGAGGCCCATGGGCCTTATAGGTCACCTGAGCATTATGCAACAACTTTCCAGTGATTGAATTTGATCCATGTTTTAAGCCAGATGCTATAGCATTTACAATTTTGATCATCATAACTATACACTTAGAAGTTGCTTAGTTTGGTTACTTAATACCCATAGGCAGGGTAGGGGAACAAAAAATGCATTTCAACAAATCAATAATATTCAGCAATAATCAGTAGTGCCGCTACCACACATGAACCCTTGACTCTTAGGCCTAGATCCAAACATTGCACAATTTTTGAAAAGGCATCCTTGCTTTTCAAAAACATTTGATTAATACCAAGGAGCAGATTTCAAACAATTCATTCATTTTCAGTATATAAGTACAGCCCCCCTCCCCCTCTATGGTACAACTGACCCTGGGGCCTTGAAATTCACAATTCTTGAAGATAAGGGCCCTTGCTCATAACTATATAGGTAGTTCATCTGCTTAATACCCAGGAGCAGAGAAGAAAATATTCAAAGATTTAATGTTTTTTCACTATACATGTATAATCAAAGAGCCCCGCCCTAACACAAGAACCCCTGACCCTGGGGCCATAAAATTCACAATTTTGGTAGAGGCACTCTTGCTCATCATAACTATGTACTTAGTTAGTTTATTTAAAACCTAGGAGCAGAGAAGAAGATTTTCAATGAATTCATGTATTTTCACTATATAATCAATACAGCCCCACCCTAACACCAGAATCCCTGACCCTGGGGCCATAAAATTCACAATTTTGGTAGAGGCACTCTTGCTCATCATAACTAAGTACTTTGTTAGTTTATATAAAACCTAGGAGCAGAGAAGAAGATTTTCAATGAATACATGTATTTTCACTATATAATCAATGGAGCCCCACCCTAACACCAGAACCCCTGACCCTGGGGCCATAAAATTCACAATTTTGGTAGAGGCGCTCTTGCTCATCATAACTATGTACTTAGTTAATTTATTTAATACCTAGGAGCAGAGAAGAAGATTTTCAAAGAATTCATGTATTTTCACTATATAATCAATAGAGCCCCGCCCTAACACCAGAACCCCTGACCCTGGGGCCATAAAATTCACAATTTTGGTAGAGGCACTATTGCTCATCATAACTATGTACTTAGTTAGTTTATTTAATACCCAGGAGCAGAGAAGAAGATTTTTAAAGAAATAATGCATTTTCACTATATAATCATTAGAGCCCCGCCCTAGCACAAGAACCCCTGACCCCAGGGCCATGAATTTCACAATTTTGGTAGAAGACTCAATGCTGATCACAATCATGCAAACAGTTTGACTGCTTGATGCCCAGGAGTAAAGAAGAAGATTTTTAAAGATTGCATTAATTTTAGTGGTTTTAGCCCCATCCCCAGGCCCTAGGGGGGCAGGGATCATGAAATTCACAATTTTTGTTCCCCTTCACCTATAAATGCTTTGTGCCAAATTTGGTTGAAATTGGTTCAGTGGTTGCAGAGAAGAAGCTGAAAATGTTCAAAAGTTTACGACCGATTGACGACGAACGACGTGCGACGGACGACGACGGACAAAAACAGATAGCAATAGGTCACCAGAGTGACTCAGGTGACCTAAAAATGGATTCGAATAAATAGTAACATGTATGTAAAATACCCTTATCACCGGCAATAAATGTCCCATGCCACTGCAAATGAAAATGTCTATCAAAATATTTGATGTAAATGATAAATAAATAAAAATATTTTTCATTGTATTTATTAAATTTTGTTTAGTTTCAAAAATGAGGATGATACCCATATATTTCATAATTTCTCTATACACAGTATGTATGTCTGAATGTTTGTAAATGTGTTGTGACTTTATAACTCGAACAGTTTTCAACGCAACGTTTTCCAGTTTTGTACAAACGCACTCTATATGCTCAAGAGAAAGACATCTGCACAATCGAGGTCAAAGACTTTTCCTATTCTAATTAGACAATGTAATGAAATATGGAGAAAATGAAGATTGTTTAAAACCATTGGAATAATACACACGAGAGCAGAGCAAACATGGGCTTCTAAATTGTCAGAGGTGGAATCAGGTGCCATGAAGGAAAAGGCGTCTCTGTCGACAGGTTGTTTGTCGTGTGTTCCTTGTCAAGACTGGGAAAATGAAAAAACCCTGAGACATTCCGTGTGTAAATATTAGTCTAACAATTGGTATGAAAAAAGTCAGATATGCATCGACTTGACCATATATTTTACTTGCTGACGAGGTCATTGATCAGGGCAAAGAACTCGCAAAATAATGGATTTAAACGAGAGTGTCGATATCCCTATTTCATCAACCTGCTGTCCAATAACTTGCCTTGTTATATAAATTGTTCCTTGAGAAGAATTTATTCATGTGTATCGAATCAAACGCCATGCAAGCGTTCTTCTAGTAAAATTTTCATACATGGAACATTTATGCCATATTCTGTGGTATTTTTTATTTCATGTTCACTGGAATAATATCGAATCAACGTATAGGGTGAATTCACCATGCATCGGATACCCTTGTACTTCAACAAGTTCTAGCGATATCGCTACCGACGGAAAATTATCAAAATGGAGTTTAACATTTAGTTTGTGATTAAAATATCAATTTGGGACACAATTATATGCCATTTATTTAGAAAATATCCTCAAAAATCGAGTTTTTAGGAATAACTCAAAATTCACCATGGATCGGACATTGTTTACCATGCATCGGACAGACGGTATTTTGACTGGATAAATATCATACCTTTATTAAAGTGCTTTAAAATCCTTGATATGGATATATTTTTATCTTTTATCTAAGAATTAACCCTCAATTTAAATCTAATTGACGATATTGTTGCACAAATGTAGAACGATTCAAGAGACCTCACTCTGCCTTAAAAATGCTTTAAAATGCTTTTAATGCGGTAATTCGCGCCTTTTTTCATGGTTTATCATACTCTGGTTTGTAGAAATAAATTGAGTCAAATTCCAGACGTCATACATCGATAACCTGTATTTTGACTGAAAATATAGAGTTTTTATTTTCCTTTTCCGCAAAAAACAGCTATCAGCTGGGTTCTGTATGAAAATGGTAGTGCTTACCTTTGCATCGGAAAGTGTCCGATGCATGGTTAATTTGTGTCCGATGTACGGAGAAATGAACATACTAGTGAAAACCAGCTTTTAAAAGAATTATACGAACATTGAAGTGAAATTTCTTTAAAATTTATGTAAAATTATCAATCTTTATTCACCAAAGTCTGCCTCGTTCCGTTGAAGTCGAATTTTAAGAACGATAACTCTAAAAATCGCAAAATCTTAAATTCCTGGTTGTTCCCCTTTGATGATGTAAAATATGACGTAACTTCAAGGCCATTCTCGGGGTATTTTTATCACAACATGATAATAACAATCGGTATCATTAAAAAATTTAAGTCTTCAGCTTCAAGACAGAAACAAATAAATACACGGAACTCTTAAGTTGAAAGAGAGTTTATTGTCTAAAGTTGTCCGATGCAAGGTATGTGTCCGATGCATGGTGAATTCACCCTATGTGGAAGTAACTATTATCCAATGATAATAATTCTGCTTCATATGAAAACATAGATAGGTATGCTAATAACGAGCACAGTTGAAACCCATGGGAATTCCGACATATTGTTGTCTGACATCATTTTCAAAATAATATCGACAAAGTCATTTTGAAACACAGTTAGAATTTTTTTATATCAACTTTAGAGTATTTGCATGTACAATCAGAGTGTTTTTGTAAGCAAAGAACAAGGTATGGTTTCCATGCAAATCATGCCCTGTGATTTTCGAAAAAAAAATGAAAATGGTGTAATAGATAAAAACTCATGCTTTCCAAAACATTCGAATTTCTTGTAAAAAAAAATTTACAAAAAATTATCTCACATGTGTTTTAAAATGGTAATTGTGACGTCACAAACATGTGCATTTTCCCGTATTTCCTTAAAAAGTAGCAGAAAACACCAATTTTTAATGGAATTTTCTTTTAGATAATATTGTCCACAGCCATCGCCCACAAAGATTTTGAGATAGAATGTTTTTTCATTGACTTTTGCACAACATATCAAAAAATTAAAGTGGGCGACGGCTGTGGACACTATTTTCTAAAGGAAAATTACCTTTGAAATAGGTCGTTTTGAGACGTTTTCTGTATAAAATAGAGAAATGCATCACATCAATGACGACATATTAGCAGATTGGTAATCCCTCATGTCATATTCTTTCCTGATTTATCACAGACATATACTTAACTAATATTGAAGCCAGTTTCAAAACTTTTTGATGGCATTACATTTTTAGAGCACAATAAGGCTAAAACATACCTTTCTCGTAGTTTTGCAATTGACCAATGGCTTGGTTCATAATTTTCCGAGTTCCATTTTTAATAAATAAACAGTAAGTACTGTTGCTTATACTGTCAAAAATCTGCATTTTAATCGATCGTGATGAATGGTTAAATAAAGAATGTTGTTTAGTTTGATGAAACTGATTTTGATAAAATATTGTGATTTTTTTAAGTTTCTAAAACTTCATTGGAGTTTTGAAGTATCCACGTCTGATTTACAACACTTTTAGAGTAATTCCATCCACACATCAATCTTTCATGACAAATCAATCTCAAACAATATCGGATGATACATAATAACAAAGAAGGAGTGGATTAAAAGGAAAACAATATTTAATGTTTTGTCTCTCTGATTGTAGGTCTGTATGTATGTGTTTGTATTCAGTTTGTCTGTATTTATGTGCTATCGTTAAATGTTGATAGTTCTAACACACATTTTTGAGCGATTGTCCAATACCCAGTTACTTTTGTGCTGTATTTCTTTTTGGCTTGAATACTGTTTGTTACCTCCATATATTTCATTAGTATCATTGTGTTAGATACAGCTGTCAATATAACCGCCTAACTGTGTCAGTTTCTTAGACAATAATCGTCTAAAAGAATCTTTTTATAGGATATTTACTAGGAACTAAGTCTAGTTCATTTTTAAGTTTTCTTACTCCCAAAAAACTTTTGGTATTGATCATTATTGATCAATTTTAACTTGTTGCTAAGGTTCTAGTGCAACTATTTTTATGTGAAACAATATCATAAGTTTGAAAAACATTTTTAGAAACTTCCTGGGTATTTATTAATTTGTTTATCTTAAAAATTTACCGATTGATTGTTAAAAACTTGTATAAACTTTTGTTCGTGACGTCAAATAAACTAACTTCAGTTTTAAAAGCCTGAAATATTTATTTTCTACCTTTGAATTTATTGATCTGTATTTTTTTTTATTTGATTGGGACTTCCATAAGAACCTGATCGTATATAAAGAAATATTTTATTTGCGCCAAGTTTTTACTATCTCGTCAGCCCTGTTGTAATCCAATTTAAAACCCTAACACAATATTTTGAATGAAGTATTTAAATTTCTTCCTTTCTTCAGCCCAAACCATTGTCAGGACAGGTAAGGAAAACACATTAAAACTGATCCTGCATTCTGTGTCAATGGAGGCCAAAATCACATGGTTCTGCTTATTCTAATTCCTTATTACGTTTGTATTTGACGGTAAATTGCACTTGAGTTAGAGCGTCAATTTGCCCCAGAAACAATAGATTAAAGGATTAATACATTATATCCCTCTTTTTGGCGTTGTCCGTTTTCAGTCAATTTTCACCATAAATATTGCCTACAGCGCTTGAAGCTAATTTGTGTTTTCTTGTCATTTTATTTTACCGTTCCTATTTATTGATTAGAAAGTAGCAGCGAATCAGAAATGGGAGTTTAACGGGAGTTTGAGAGTTATTACCTTCTGTTACATTTTCCGTAACTGCTACATTTCACAAAAATAAAAGAGCTTTCTTATTCTTTATATCGACCTAGGAGGATTTGTTCAGTCAAATGATTTGGAACTAAAGCTTTCACAAAAAGACGAAAATTTGCTTTTATGTGTATAATTCTTTCTCAACATTTTTTAATTTGAATACGATTAGAAAACTTGTAAATAAAACATATATTTATTTCTATTTATATTTAAGATATTTACATATCATAACATACACTTCAGCCAAGTAACAGACGTTGGCAACCTGTAAAGTGTTGGATCTGACATATAAGAGGTAATTGATTAATAGTGTTGAATACAATCTAATCATAAGAGCACTGCAGTTCATTGTAAATCTAAGTACCCCCACATTCTGTCACCGCTGAATGATAAGTTTAAATCCCCCATGCCGAATCATCTGGTCTTTAGAAACTACAATACCCCTATACTCCCGTTACCAGGTGTTAATTTGCCGATTGTAAACATAAAATAATTTTTGTATATAATATTAAAATATTATTGCTTGAAAACACAAAAGTTTTCTTTTCCTTTTAAACTAATAAAAATTGCAGAAATTTTAAACCTTTAATAAATGTATGAAACGCCACAAGACATTTTTTTTTGCAGATTATCAATCCAGTATTAATCCATACTATATTTAATAAAAAAACAGATCTGTCAAATGTCTCTTCTCTGCATGTCAAAGAAAACACAGAAGAATAAGAAACAAAAACACCTACCTGTGGGCTTCAGACAGATTATATCAAGACATGTTGTTAATCGGGAGTTCATTCAGGTAATCACTAAATCCGACTATCGTCTACGATAGGAGAGGTGTCGAGCAATGTTTAAACGTCCCCGGCTTTCTACATGTAAATCGTAGTCGACCGCTGACATGCTCTCCAACGTACGTCATTGAAACTAGGAACGTATACCTCCTCAATGTGTAAACAATCTTTATTTATTTTTATCTTGTAACGTTTTTTTAATATAAAGTGTACTGTTAAAAATAATGAAACACAACTTTATTGAGTAAATAAATTAATATTGAGATGATATTTCACATGACACTTTTTTTCATTTCTTCATTCTTTGATGGCATTTCTTCATTCTTTGATGGCATTTTGTCATTCTTCGATGGCATTTCTTCATTCTTGATGGCAGGCAATTCTTCATTCGTTTTAAAATTCTTTGATAATGCATTTTCTCGTTCTGCTTTGTTGTGTAGATAGATTCATGCTGCGATGATATTTCCCCACTACATATACGTGATGGCACCGCGTTCTTCATTATTTGCTGATGTATTTCATCATTTGACAAGTTCTGTGGTTGATTTATTGACCTTGTCAACAAATACAGTTTATCGTTAAATCGAATGTTGACTCGCCTGTTTAATACTTATTGTTAAGCAATTATTTTTACATTGATTCCGTTTACCAGATCATCACAAGAAGCACAGGGAATGCTTACTCCTTCATGGTATCTGATCCCATCTCTGGTGTTTTTAGAGCTTTATGTTTGCTTTACTAACATATTGATTGTTTCATGGACTTTTGAGCATGATAATAGTTCTTTATCTTCATATTTCATCATATTAAACTGTTTTCTGATATGTTATTAGATCATCACTCTATTTATATATCATGATAATTTTTCACTATGCAATGATATTTCTTTGTTTCTAGCTTCAAGTGTACAGTGCAACAATATATTCAAGATGTGGTGTTAATTAGATGTGAATACTCAAAAAATCCAAAGCATTTTTGGACAATTTGAAATCACAAGATTTTACCAAAATTGATAGCTTAAAGAATTACGACTTTTCAACTTTATACACAGCCATTCCTCACGATGAATTTAAGTCCGGGTATTTTTATTTCATTGACAGCTGAGCTGCTTTTTCAATAAAAATGGAACTCGTAATTTTAATTACTTTGTCATTTGTAATTTGCAAAGTTATTTTGTTAAGAAACACATTCTGATTGCACACAGAAATATTCTGAAGTTGACATCAAAAAGATGCTTGAGTTTCTGATTGACAATATCTATGTGGTTTTTGGAGATCAGGTCTTCTAACAATCTATTTACAATGGGTACCAATTGCGCCCTAATATTAGCAGACCAATTTTTATATTCATGTGAAGCAGAATTTGTGCAAAATCTTATGCGTTAAAAGAAGAAAACACTTGCTGTGGCAATAAATTTGAAATTTAGATATATCGACGACGTATTGAAAATTAACAATGGTAATTTCCATTCCTACGTCGATACGATATATCATGGTGAGCTTGAGATAAAAGATACAACAGAGTCTGACACATCTTTTTCATATTTGGATATTTTATTTGAAAAAAGATGTTAATGGTAATCTAACAACCAAGCTATATGATAAAAGTGATGACTTTATCTTTTCTATCGTCAACTTCCTTTACTTATGCAGCAATATACCTTCATCATTTGGATACGGAGTTTGTTTATCTCAGTTGATTCGATACGCAAGAGCATGCTCTACGTATGGATACTTTCTAAAACTAGATAAATTTTTGACAAACAAGTTGAGGAAACAAGAATATCAGAAGTCTCGTTTAAAGTCATCATTTTTTAAAGTTCTATGATCGATATAATGACCTTGTCAGCAAATACAAATTGTCATTTAGTCAAATGCTGACTGATGTTAATTATACTAATTGTTAGTCCATTAATTATACACTAAATTGACAATGGATTTTTTCGCTATTTCCCGAACATGATAAGGAGCACATGATAGGTGCGACTGGTCGGCAGGGGATACTCACTCCTCCATGGCACCTGATCCTACCTCTGATGCTTTGGAGGTCCGTGTTTGCTCTGCTTCTATTTTGTATTGTTTTCTTGACTTGGATATTGAAATACTGTTCGTTATCTCCATATCCTTCATTCTATGATATTCTTATAACCCGATAACACTTCGTTATTTTTATGCTTACTGATTCAGTTTTTCCATTGTTAATTTATTTCATTTTCACTTGCATATGACATTCAAAATCTCATACGATACCAAGAGCGTGCTCTGAGTACAATCGATCTCTAAATGATAAAGATACTGAATAATCGGTCTTAAAAATTTTGAACAATACAAACCTGTGATAAGGGCAGAACAATTCAGAACCCCAAAAATTCAAGATTTAGGATCAGGAAAACATGACTAGAGTTTCAACTTCCTGTTGAAAATGAATTTTTAAAAAGCCAGATCTTTTCTTACAAGCTGTCTGTTTTAACACTTTAAGCTGTTGGTTATTCAGTGGTAACAGCGTTCATAAAATTTAATCTTAAAATTAAGTGTGTCACGAAATATTTCGACAGAAATCCCCCAATTCTTTTTAATATTTTTATTCATTTCAAGGAAAACGCCTCTAGTTTTTCAGTGTGCACCATTCTGTAATAAAAAGTTTTTTTTTCAGATTCAAATAAACGTTCAGACATGTTAGCGATTTAAAAACATGATTGCAAATTCTTTAATTTCAATTTTGGAATATAAAAAATAAGTAATCATACTTTACCCTGACTACCACAGTGACTCTTTTTGAAACTAACGCGGTATCAAACTTTTTGATCAAACAATATTTTGAATTTGTCCCCTTTTTAAATGATAAACATGACCGACCCCATGCAACTTGACACCAATCTGGTCTGCCATGATGTCTTGAATCTTTCTTTTCCATAGGCCATTTTCAGGGGGCCGACTGGGGTTCTCATTGCGCAATATTTCGCGCATCATAGTAAAATGAAGCGTATTTACTGTTTTAAAGCGTCTTTTTTTCACCTAATTAATAAAATTAAACAAAATTTTAAAAAAGTTTAAAAATATAACTACATTTTTTAACTGAATGTTTAACTGATTTTGCAACTGATAGGTATACTAAGTTGAAGTCGTTCAGTGTCTTTATGATAAAGACCATTTTTTCATTAAAGAGTTCATGTGTAGTATTATGAAAAGTTGTATGAATATCTGTTTGATATCTTTTAAAAAGTATTTTGTAGCATATTCTAAGAAAGTAATAGTAATCATATATTATAGTTTGAACAAAAAGTCTTCTTTAGTATTTGTATAATTTGCTTTAAGGATGACGTTTACTCAGGTTTCAGAAATCAGAAAGGAAATTTTATAAAGTACGATATGTTAAATCAAAAATTGTTCGAAATGGATAAAATTACAAAGTTTTAACTCAATATCAAGTTAAAAATTTCATATTTTATTATTTGAAGAAAATATAAAGGGAACAAAAGTCGGTGTATGGTGATGCAGAGGAAATTCTGACTAAATTTGTAAATTTTCATTTTTATCAAAATCTTTCATTTTTTCCAATATAAATCACAATGTAAAGGTTACAAGTTTTTTTTTAGACATCAAATTTTATATTTCTTAAAGCTCATAAATTATTTAAAATAATTGAATGCTATTAAATAAAGAAATTCAAGAATATGAACAAAAACCATTCCAGGCAACATATCTCAATAATTTGATCATTGACCCCATATAATGTAAATACCATGAGAGTTACGGCAACAAAGGTAATATGAGGCTATGAATAATTTAGAGTTCTTATCAGTCAGATTTGTTAAATATTCGATTAAAAATGGGGAAAAATAATAAATATGACAGAGGAGAAAATTCGGACTGTAATAATTATCATCTTTTTGGCTTTGGCCCAAACTCAAATCCTTTCTTTATATGAAGCAACACTGTACAATTTCTATAATATTTCATTATTTAAATAGTTTTATTGCTTGTAATATTTTGTGAGTGAAGAAAAAATTGGTCATAGTGTGAAAAATTGAGGTATTTCCTGAGAAATACTCAGGGGCCATTAGCATGAAAACGAGGTCATTGACCTAGTTATTTGAAATTGAAATTTAACACAAGAAATATAGGTGTACAATGTGCAATAGGTGGTTTTTCGTTCTTATCAGTGGAATTTTTAGTCATCTGAGTAAAGGTATACCTTAAAGTGCTAAAAATTGGCACAGTGTACAGTGTACCTGTATTTTGAGACGGTCCCTTAAAAATACCTGGATGGTAGATTTCCCCCAAGCTTTGCATATGCACTGAAGTTAATGTATGTTACGTGTATATACGGTATAAAAAATGAAGACTTTCGTTATTGTAGTTTTCACACAAGGAAACCCCAGCCGGCCCCATTAAAATGGGGAACACAAGAAAGAATTTGGCACAAACTTTCTGATGCATGTAATGTCAGACGGCATGAAAGATTTTGAGACAACGAATAGCATTCAAGCTTAAACGTCCATTTCACAATACAAAACTGAAGCAGAGCAAACGAGGACCACAAAACAATTAGAGGTGGGATCAGATGCCATGGAGGAGTGAGCATCCCTTGCAGGTACACTGTACATGTACATTTCTATAGGATTTATAGGAAAGTGCCAATTTTTAGCACTTTAAAGCAAATTATACAAATACTAAAGAAGACTTTTTGTTCAAACTATAATATATGATTAGTAATACTGTATTGTACATTTTGTCATAATCGGGGAATAACTTGAAAATCCGCTACCAATTCATTGTGTATATAATGACTTAATAGTTTTTTAAAAAGTCATTCAGCATTTGGTTTAATGAAAAATTGTATTTGCTGACAATGTCATTGTATCGACCATAGAACTAACGAAATGATGACTTAAAACGAGACTGCTGATATTCCGGTTTCAATTTATTTGTCAAAAACCCACCTCTTTTTAGAAATTGTACATACGTTCAGCATGCCTTTGAGGATCGAATCAACTGAGAGATGCAATACCCTTATGCAAATAAGGAAGGTACATGTATATTGCTTCATAAGTGAGGAAGTTGACCATTGAAAAATTAAACTCATCACG